AATTTTTTTCTATCTAATTATATTATGATTTACTCGAAAAATGTAATTTTCTTTAAATCTATTGATTAATATAATATTAAAAATTCGAAACACATTAATTCTATAACAGTAGTATTCCACATTGTGTATTAAAAATAGGAAATGTAATAATTTTAGAGATTGAGTGATCTTTATAGAGCGGTTTTATATGATAGTTCGAAATCATGACAGTGTTACCGAGGCTACAGTAACGAGAGTACATAAATAAACCAGAGGCGCGCGAGAGATTTGAATTTAGTGAATGAGGATGCCAAAAAGATAATCGATTCCGTGTCTGGTACGTTGAATAATATTAATTCATTAATACATATTGTAAAATATTTATATATGAAATGTGAAAACTAATATTCACTTTGATGTTGTAACATAAATAAATGTCCATTAGTATTGGGTAGTTTGTTTTTTCCTGCATTTCTGCGGAGTATTTATACTATTATGAAAAATGCGTCGAGGGTAAAAAAATGTAGAAGGCGTCTGTAAAGGTTGTTAGGTAGAGCAAGTTACAATAAAAATATAAAACGCTTTTATCTTGTTTTTTACAATTCGTGTTGGAGTGTTAAACTTTTTATAACGGCGACACTAATTGTAGTTAATATTGAAATATTCATTTTACGACAATCCCCAAGAAATTGTATTTTTAACGCGATTGTAGTTTGTTAGAAAACTGACTAGCGGACATATAAAATTATTGTTTTTAGGTGTAGTACCCTTAATGGCCATATATTGTTCATAAAAACGAAATAATAATAATTAAAACCCCTCCTTCCGTTACAGTATAATAAATATAGTTTGATAAATTTTAATGTCCGTACTTTTATTTGATGATTTCTAGTTGGAGAAATGACAGAAAGGGAATTTGTAGCATTAATAACTTCCAAATTTACTTATCGTGTAATTATGATTTTTTTTAACCTAGTGAATAATATAATAGTTATAATTTTAGATAAATTATTTCTATAATAGTAGTTTTCACATTGTGTATTAAAAAACCAACATTTTATGATTTTAGCAACTCGCAAAAATTTATAATGAAATTGATGATGAGTCTGCAAAACCAATGAACAATTGGTGGTCTTCATATCGTCGCTTTCCATTTTCCAATTAACAAGCAAAATGTTAAGAGTTACTTGATGAGGGAAAAAGAACAATATAATCTAAGTGTAACGGATGTCGAAAATATAACTGGACCATTAGAGGGTACGTAGACAGTACAAGTTTTAAAAATGTAAAAAGCTTTTGCCACTTTTTTAACGAAATATGTTACAAAAAAATTTAATGACGATTAGACTGATTTTAATTAATATCAAAATATTAATTTTATAACACTGCGTATGACATTTTTTTTAAGCACGATTTAAAATTATTTAACTGAATAAGCGGACAGACAAAATTATTGATTTTAGATTTCTTTTCATAATACCCGTTATGGCCAAACATTGTACATAAAAACACAATAATAATATTTGCAACCACTCAATTCGTTACATCATTGTAAAGTTTGATCACATTTTAATGTGAATAATTTTAAAATTAATTCTAGATAACAATATGACTTGGGAAGCATTTTATAAATTAATGATTTTTAAATACTAAAACGTCAGCCGGTGGTGGATTTTAACATTTGCAGCCGTAGGCAAGTAATTTTTCACCCTTACACAATACCGTTTTAGTTATAATATATTGTTTTGGCTGATAACTTGTTTTAGTGTGATAAATAAAAATAAAAATAGTGAACATGATTTAGGCGTTTTAAGTTAATGATTAGGTGTCCAAATAGAGAATACAAAAATTAAAAGCGAGTACAGAGGTACCGGGCATCACGGAGATAGAACAAAAATGATTTTTAAATCATTTCGTAGCACGCCGTTATTTTAGGTTTAAGATTTAAAAATGTTTTGGTTTTTTTATTTAAAAAAAAAAACCCCTATTCTTTAAATTCAAAAAAACGTCTCGAAAGATGACATATTTTTCATCTTAAAACAATAACGTGCTTTTTGAAAAAAAGTCAACTAATTGCAAATTGTTTTATGGAATATTCTTTAAGCTATGGAGTCTGAACTCTATAATATTACTCTACCGTTATGTGTGCATTGACAAATTAAACAAATATCAAGAAAAAAATTAATCCAAATGAGTAAACAAGTTTATAGTATCTAATGAGAAAAAGAAGAAAATTACCTTTTAATCGTGGTAAATTTCGGGTTGTTTTGTTAGAATAGATAAATGATCAACAAATATCTGAGAATAGTAACAATATTTGTAAACACACGACCAACCCTAAAAGTATAGAAGTACAAAAATACAATTGTATGCTTATTACTATCTTCTAAAGAATTATTTTTGGAGTAATTTTATCACTTTTGACTACACCTATCTATTATTCTCAAGGACTCCTGACTTCCTTAACTGAAGGATATTACATTTTATAAAGTTTTACGTAATGTACTATTATCGAATTGTAAATTTGTTTTTATATCAATATTTCAGGGCTACAAATTTATTACAACATCTTATCGCCATTAGCTGTATCCAAAAAGTCAAACTTTTTCAAGTGTTAAATTTAAGTTTATTAAAATAAAAATTCAAGGTTTATGTATTAATTCTTAAAAACCTAACGGGTGTGTGTTTTTTTTTGTTTTAAATCGATTAATGTACTATTTGGGTGTATTGTAAATTTTAGTTTTAAACAATATGAATTTATAAAAATGTTATATAATTAGTTTTTAGCTTATTAAATTATAAATGAACCTTAGCTGCTATGTCTTTTTTTCTGATAATAAAAATTACATATAAAAATGAGTATAGTATTTAATTTTAACTTTTAATCTATTTAAAGAAATCAAATGAGTATATTTTGTTCATTTATAAAATCTAATAATATTTATCCAAAAAGCAAAATCGGAACATTGATATTTTCAAAATGTTTTACTAAAGAATAGTATTTAATTTTATGATTACATTTTAAGTATATTTAAATTGTTATATTTTTTTTATAAAATATTTTAGATAAATTATGTTTAAAAATTAACTTTGGTGGATTATTTTGGAAATATTTAAACAAAAATTTTGAATAATACGTCGTCATTAAAACTCTTTTACAATATTTTGTAATTTTTTTGTCATTTTTTGATACATCATAAAACCTGTACCTAGAGAATTATGATAGAATTATATATATATATATATATATATATATATATATATCGTGGAGTTGACCTGAACCGAACTAAATTAACAAATCAATCAATTATAAAAAAAAAAAAAATTCGCTCAGAATGAGTAAACATGGTTTTTTTTACGTTTAACGTTTGTGACTGAGATTCGAAAACTTGACTAAAGGTAGATCAAGAGGAAGTTGATAATATTTAAAGAAAAAAAGGGGGAAGTTACTTTTTGATGGTGGTAAATTTCGGGTTGTTTTGTTAGAATAGATAAATGATCAACAGATATCTGTGAAACAGCTATACTATATTATTAATTACGATGATATGTTAGCCACATAAGTAACAATATTTGTAAACAGACGATCAAAGGTATCGAAGTACTAAAAATACAATTTAATGCTTATTACTATATTCTAAAGAATTTTCTTTAGAGTAATTTTATCACTGTTGGTTACACCAGACAGTTGCTCTTGAAGACTGGTGACTTCCCAAACTGAAGATTTTATATAATTTTACATATTGTACTATTTTTCGCATTGTAAATTTGTTTTTATTTCAATATTTCAAGGCTACAAATTTACTACAACATCATATCGCCATTAGCTGTATTCAAAAAGTCAAACTTTTTAAAATGTTCAATTTATGTTTATTTAAATAAAAACTAAAGTTTTATGTATTAATTGTTAAAAATCGAATGGGTGTGTGTTTTTTTTGTTTTAAATCGACTAATGTACTATTTGGGCGAATTGTAAATGTTAGTTTTAAATAATATGAATTTATAAAAATGTAAAATAACTAGTTTTCAGCTTATAAAAAATATATGTTAACCTTAGCTGCTATGTCTTTATTTCTGATAATAACAAAAAACCTATATATATATATTAAATTTAAGGTTAACTGTTAAGTTGAGATTAGTATCAAAATCTGGGAAAATTTAATTTCTTGAAGATTTAAGAACTCGTCGGGAATTGAAATCCATTATCAAGTCGTAGTACAAAAGCAGAACTTTTTTTTACACGAGTATTGTTCAAATAATAACATGTTTTCATATAAAACTAAAAAAATATGAAGGTCATCTAAGTACGAATTTATCGATTTGAAGCAATACCATATTATCTTAATTTATACACAATACAAATACTTCTCGTTATGATACTAACATTTAACTTTAGACTGTAGTACTAACATACTAACATATAAATACAAATAATTGTTGTATTCTTACACATCTTAAAAAAGTCACATCATATCATCTGATTTGAATACGTTGATACGTTGATTTTAACTCAGTTAAGAAGTTGAATGGTCAGTGATAAATAAAACTAAGTAATTTTATTCTAAAAAATTGTACTATGACACTTTAACCGCCAGGCTAGAATTGAGTAGGTAATAGAATAATTATATAACAATACATTTTTTGAAGACAGCTCTTAATGTGATAAAAGACTCGTTAGTAATTGAAATCTAATAAAATAAATCTAATTCTTCGCACAGATGAAATTCGTTTAGGGTGAAGTCATATGGCAAATTGTAAAAGAATTAGTATATAAAGAATATAGTATATAAGCAATACAATATTTTGCACGTGTATTGTTCAAATAATAACAAGTATTCATGTTAAACTATAAAAGTATGAAGTTTTCTTAAATACTAACTGAATTTGTTTTGTTTGTCTACTAACCAAATTGAACAAACAAAATACATTTGCGTTTATACAAGTTTTACACTGAAATCGCTGTAACAGAAGCCATTAAAAAGAATAATAATCATTTGAGTTTTAAACAACGGCAGAACAGTATTCGAATATCTTAGGCATTAAAAAAAAATCACACAGTTATGAATTTTAAAAATGTTATATTTTTTTTATATTTGTTTGTTCATTTATATACAGCAAATGCAGGAATTTGCGAAGATCCGTCGGTAATTTAAAATTTTTTCTATCTAATTTTGATACAATAAAACAAAATATGTAATTCTCTATAAATCTATTGATTAATATTATATTAAAAATTCGAGACACATTAATTCTAAAACATTATTATTCACATTGTGTATTAAAAATAGAAATGTAATAATTTTTTAATAAAATCATTTTAGGAACTAGCCAGACTTTATGAAAGAATTGAAGATGAAAACCGAGTTGGTTGTAAAGATGCAGCAAGTTATTACTTAATGAAACTATTATACTTCGCCACTTATCCACTAGCTGATAGTTTGGAAGAACCTCACCGAACCGGAGGTGTTACCAAGGCTACAATATGGGAGTACATAAGTGAACCAAACGCGCGCAAGGATTTTGGAATTTCAGAGTCGGATGAACGAAAGATACTTGATACCGTGTGGGGTTCGTTGAATAACAATACTTCATTAATAGATATTGTAAAATATATACATGGGAAATGTGATTACTAATAATCACTTTGATATTGTAACATAAATAAATGTTGATAGGAATTAAGTAGTGTGTTTTTTCCAACATTCCTGGGGAGTATTTATACTATTGAAAATGGCTTTAGTTGATTTTAATGTGTAGTACCCATAATGGCCAAATATTGTTCATAAAAATGCTTAACAACAATAATTGTAACCATTCCATCCGTTACAGCATAATATAGTTTTGGTAAATATTAATGTGAGTACTTTTATAATGATTTCTAGAGGAAGAAATGTCGAAAAAGAAATTTATTAGATTAATAACAATAAAAGCAAAACTTACTTATGAGGTAGTTATGATTTTTTCCTATCCTAATATATGATATATTAATTATTGCTATAATGGTAGTTTTCACATTGTGTATTAAAAAATAAAATTTTATGATTTTAGCAACTCGCCAAAATTTATACTGACGTATTTCGTGAAAGTAAAAAAAAAATTGAAATTAGAGGCCATAAAGTCTGGTCATTCGGTAAAGTTGACAAGAAAAGAGTTAAGAAGTACTTGATAAGGGAAAAAAATCAATATAATCTAAGTGAAAATGATGTCGAAAATATAACTGCACCATTGAGGGGTATGTAGGCATAACAAGTTTTTAAAATATGTAAAACGCTAAATCTTCTCTATTTACGAAATATGGTATAAAACAATTTTATGACGGTTAAACTGTTTTTAGTTTATACTGAAATATTAATTTTATGACATTGCCGATGAAATTTTATTTTAAACACGGTTTTAAATTATTTAACTAAATAAGCGGACAAACAAAATCATCGATTATAGATTGCTTTTCATAATACCCGTCATGGACAACAATTGTACATAAAAACGCAATAATAATAATTGAACCACTGAATTCGTTACAGCATTGTATAGTATGATAAATTTTAATGTGAATATTTTTTAAATGATTTCTAGATTGTGATATGGGGTGGCACACATTTTATAGATTAATAATTTAAAAAATAATGTAAACGCTACAACGTCAGCCGGTGGTGGATTTAAACATTTGCAGCCCCTAGGCAAGTAATTTTTCACCCTTACACATTTTTGTTTAGTTATAATGTATTGTTTTGGTCGATAACCTTATTTTAAGTGATAAATAAAAATAAAAATATTGAACATATTTTGAGCGTTTTAAGTAGCCAGTACTGCGGTGATTTTTAAAAAATATCATAGCCCGCCTTTTTTCTAAGTTTAAGAAATATAACAAATATTTCAACATAAAATTATGTGATAAATTTCGATTTGTTTTGTTAGAATAGATAAATGATCAACAAATATCTAAGAAACCGCTATATTATATTGTTAATTACGACGATATGTTGGCCAAAATAGTAACAATATCTGTAAACAGACGATCAACCATACTTCTAAAATAGAGCTGAGACCTCGAATCGAATTTTTCTATTATTCGAATTATTCGAATAATCGAATAAATACTATTCTTATGAAAATAATTAGAATTTTCGAATAGTAATCAAATAATTCGAATATTTTGTAAAATTTTTTTTTTTTTGTAATTGTATATCTATATAAATTGTTAAAATCTTATTTGTTGTAATAAGTAATAATATTTATTTTGTCAAAAGAATAATTCGTTATAGTTATATTTATTTTGTTAAGAAAATTATTAAAAATAGACCAAGGACACCTTAGTTGTCTCTTAATTCTTTTTTTTTTTATCTAATTAATCCTGCAAAGAAAATGATAAAATATTCGAATATTAGAAAAATCAGATCGAATATTCGAATAAAAAATTCAAATATTCGTTATTCGAATAACGAATATTCGTGCGAATAAAGTATTCGAATATTAGATTTTTTTTATTCGAATAGTCCCACCACTATTCTAAACGTATCGAACTACTAAATATACAATTATATGCTTATTACTATCTTTATCTTCTAAAGAGTTTTTATAGAATAATTTTATCATTTTTAGTTACACCTAACAGTTGATCTTAAAGACTGCTGACGTCTCCAACTGAAATACATTAGATTTTATATAATTTTACATATTGTACTATTATCGCATTGTAAATTTATTTTTATATTAATATTTCAGGGCTACAAATTTACTACAAAATCCTATCGCCGTTTGCTGTATTCAAAACGTCAAAATTGATTAAAGTATTCAATTTAAGTTTATTTAAAAAAAAATTCAAGATTTGTGTATTAATTCATATAACTTTAAGGGGTGTGTGTGTTTTTTTTTGTTTATCGATTACTGTACTATTTGGGTTATTTGTAATAATAATTTTTAACAGTAACATAAAGTTTTTAATTTTGGGGTTTAAAGAATAAAATATATTGAATTACTCTCTTATTTGTTAAATAATACTTACTTCATTTGTAACATTTTAGTTGTTTTTTTTTACAATGTACCATACTACTTATAATTGTTTTTGATTTCGTCGCTTTGGATTCGGGTAGGTATTATGGAAACCGTATATTACAGCCGGTAATTTTACAAATTTATACAATTGTCTTAATTTTCAATATAAGTATATACAGAATATATTTTATCGACGCGTAGGTTTGACTTGGAAATCTCTGAATTTGCTGTTAAAACGAATTTTGTTTTGTGTTTTCTGCTGTTGTTGTTTTGTTCTTCTTTGTACAACTGTGTTGAGTACTTGAACATATTTCGCTGAAAAACAGTTTACTTTTTGTTAAATATAGGACGTTATATTAACATTTTTTTTTATAAAATTATGCATATGGTTTTTTTTTTAAGTTTCTACAGTATTTTTTTGTCCTTGAAAATTGTATTTTCGCCACTCTTATGAAAAATATTAATTAGATTGTTTCTTTAGTTTTATACATGTAACAACATGCATTATTGGAATGATCCGAAAATTGCCTTAAACCTTATTTTCAACAAAACCCTTTACCCCCCCCCCCACACTCCCTTGATTTTTTTATTCGGTTTATTATTTCTATCTACATTCCTCTTGAAAATCCATATAACCGAACAAATTTGAATAACCATCCATCTCATGAGTTACTTTATTTATTGTGTAGGTTAAGATTTTTTTTTTAGGAATTGTTGTCATTATTTACAAATGTTGAGGACATCCATAATAATCACAAATTGACTTCTGAAACAGTGGTCTTATTATATTCTAAAACGTATGATCTATTATAAAGTCTAAACAGCTAAACAAACTTAAATTATTTCATAAAAAGTTGAAATATATTGCCAAATGGGGTAACCAATAGTAAACGTTTTTTTTTTTTTAATTGTAAGTGTGAAGGACATCTTTATTTCTTTTTTTTTATTACACTTTTCTATGCGTAGTACATACCTGAAGTCTGAAAATAAATACTAAAAGAACATCTATTGTGGTCCTATTACAATTACAAGTTTTTAAAAAATCATATACATTTTGTTGTATACGCACCACTATTTTAAATTATTAACATTTGTTCCATAAAATAACTTTTTCATTGATTTCGCAATATAAGTTTTCAATTACAAAAAATTAATTTTAAATAGTATCCATATGCTTTTCTTGATGGTTTGTTTTAACTAATTACTTTGTTAAATAATAATATGCTTAATGAATACTTTATGCCCATTCAAGCGTAATATTTTAATATAAAAAAATGGTTCGGATACTTATTTTTGATTTTGAACTAAATTGACTTTTTTATATAAAGTAATAGCACTGAATTGTTGTATTCCTACATATTTTATAAAAAGTTATATCATATCATCCGATTTGAGGACGTTGATACGTTTATTTAAACTCAGGCTAGAATTGAGTAGGTAATAGGGTAATTGTGTAAACATTTTTTTGAAGACAGCTCTTAAAGTACTAAAAATATTAGTCAGTAATTGAAATCTATTCAATTAATTATAATACTGCGTATAGATAAAACTCGTTTAGGGTGAATAGAATTTAGATGGCAAATTCCAAAAGACAGATGCCTCTCATAGATCTAAAGTTGTAGTACATAAGCAAAACAATATTTTGCAAGTGTATTGTTCAAATAATAACAAGTATTCATATTAAACTAAAAAATAATGAAGTTTATCTAAACACTAACTTATTGTTATAAGGGTTTATCGGTTGATGCCTGTTGTTGTTTATTAACGACCCAAGTGTTCATATTTAAAATAATATTACATCGAAAACAAAAAACTATGTCATTATCAAAGGTTGTCTGTAAAATAAAACTTTAAAAATAATATGTAAGTGATTTTAAAAAAAAAAAAAGATCTATAAAAAATTTAGTTTACAAAAAGGTAAATAATACCATTTTGTTACCAGACAGATGAGTATAAGCAGGTAATAGCTAAATTTGTTGTGTTTGTCAAGCGGGTAAACAACTATTATTTTTTTACAATTCATAGCAAACAAAATACATATGCGTTTATACATCTTTTATACGCTTTACACTGAATTTGCTATAACAGAAGCTATTTTAAGTTTTAAACAACTGCAAAACAGTAGTCGAATGATTTATGCACTGAAAAAAAAGACAATAATGGATTTTAAAATTTGTATATTGTTTTTACATTTGTTTGTTCACTTTTATACAGCAACATGCAAAAAGCAACACGCAGGAATTTGCCAAAATCCAACGGTAATTTCAATTTTTTCCGTCTAATTATGTGATTCATTAAAAAAAAATGTATTCTTTATAAATGTATTGATTAATATACTAGTAATAATTCGAGACATATAAACCTTAAAACAGTAGTATTCACATTGTGTATTAAAAATAGAAATGTAATAATTTTAGCAACTAGCCAAACTTTATAAAGGGTGTTTAAAAGACGGCCAAGGTGTTTACGATGATACACGATGATTACTTAAATAAACCAAACGTGCGCAATGATTTTGAAATTTCTAGACAGGATAAACAAAAGATACTTGGTTCTGTGCGGAGTACGTTGAATGATAATTATAGTTCATTAATAAATGTTGTAAAAAATATATATGTGAAATGTGAATATTATTACAATGATTTCTAGGTTCTAAAATGTCGGAAGAGGAATTTATTGCATGTATAACATCAAAATTTACTTTGGCGGTAATTTTGAATTTTTTTTTCTATCCTAATATTTGATACATTAAAAAAAAATATATTATATAATAATTGAATACTCTATAAGCCTAGTGAATAATAAAATAGTAATAATTATTGATGTATTATTTCTATAATATTAGTTAGGTCAAATTGTGTATTACACAATTTGACAAATTTAAGACAAAAATTAAATGATTTTAGCAACTCGGAGAAATTTATGTAAAAGTATTTCATGTAATTGAAGTAAAAAATTGTGTATTACACAATTTGACAAATTTAAGACAAAAATTAAATGATTTTAGCAACTCGGAGAAATTTATGTAAAAGTATTTCATGTAATTGAAGTAAAAAATTCAATATCAGGTCATACAGGACATCACATCTACACAAAAAATAAAGTTAACAAGGAAAAAGTTAAAGTGTACTTACTGAGAAAACGACGCCGATATGGACTAAATGAAAAGGAAATCGATGAGATAATTGCCCCATTAAATGGTACGTTTTAATTAATATTGAAATATTCATTTTATGGCATAGCCTATGAATTCTTTTTTGAACACGATTTTAAATTATTTAAAAACTAAATAAGTGGTCAGACAAAATTATTGATTTTAGATGACTGTTCATAATACCTGTTATGGCCAAACATTGTACATAAAAAAGCAATACTAATAATAACTGCAGCCGCTCAATTTGTTACAGCATTGTATAGTTTGATAAATTTTAATGTAAATACTTTTAAAATTATTTCTAGATAATGATAAGAATAATATGTCATGGGAGGAATTTCGTAGATTAATGGTTTTAAAAAAATAATGTGTACGCTACAACTCCAGGCGGTGGTAGATTTAAACATTTGCAGTTCCTAGGCAAGTAAATGGTTCACCCTTACACAGTTTTCGTTTTTTTATAATATATTGTTTTGGTTGTGATTAACGAATTAATAAAATATACAATTTTAAAAAATT